TTTTATTTTGTTGTAAATGTACTAATTGACAAGAGAATAGATACTGCATGAGTGTCTAGTTCACAGTATTCATGATTGTAATAAATGTTACGATTCTCAAGCGAATAGATACTGTGATGAATTGTCTAGCAGAGATAAAGATATCGACAATCTAATACAAGAATGCAGAAAAAGTGAATCGGAGACAAATTTTTGATTGGTTCAAACTTCAATACATCATCGAAAGAAAAATATATTTAATATAAACAAATATAAAACTTGAAGTATTTATATTTGATGGCGGTATTCGGTGTAACAGGGTCCGGTGCCTTTGTATTGTGTGATTGCGTCGCGTTTCATTTTTCTGGGGTTGATGATATAAGTTATAACCTTTTACAAATGACTTCAATAATTTCAATATGAATTGGATCCTTCCAAGAACAGTGTCGACAATTATTTCTTTGCAAGTATGTGATATGACTGGTCCCTTGTTGAATTTCTTGAGACTAAGAAAAGTGAAATCCTGGCTGGCCTTCAAAAGGCAGCTGTGCATCGTACATATAAGAAAGATTTACAATTGATCTTGAATCAAAACCACCTGAAGACGTCTCCCTCGTCATTATGAAACAATTAACACAAAAAATAACGGAAATTGAAGAAGTCAAAACCTTTGGAAAGCAATAACTACTGAGAAGAAACATAAAGAGCAGTCAGAGCCGGTGCTTCATTACAAATTGTAAGTCTGTGTGCTTTACATGTGTTTTTTTATTACAATGCATTAATTTAGAAACATTTCTTTTTAGAATGAGATTCGCGGGAAAAGATTTCCTGAAGAAATTGAGAATGCGGTTCAACGAGATGTAAAGAGATTGGAACTAGGAAATGAAAATGACACCCACAAGAATTAATCAAAACAAAAAAATCGATGAGGAACAAATAGCATTTTGGAAAGGCAATCATGAACAAGCTAACAACCAAACAAAAGAGAAGTTAGAAGTATTTTCGACTCCTCATAAACCAATCCTTACTCCTCAGAAGTTTAGTGTGATATCATCTAAAGTTATTCTAAGTTTAAACCCCTTAAAAATTCTCTTAATAAAAGATAATAAACGAAATACAAGCTTATGAGGAAGAACAAAAGAGATTAACTAGCCTAGGAACAACTCTTAAGATATGGTTGTGAATAACTTTATCATCCACCCCAGAGGAGTTATATGAATGTCTTATGCAGCCATTGCAATGTGAAAACATCACAGATTGAGACAGAGAAATTACATGAAATATTTGAGTTAACATTAAATACTTAATGATTAAATATAATCCAAAACATACTCTCGCAAGGCACAATTTGGAGAGAAAATTCCTCGTTGAAAGGTGTCAACACCTTTTAAACTTGTTGAATATGTGTTTGGAATTGTTACAACAAATTGGATTGAAAAAGAGATAATATCAACAAAGGCATCAGAGTTCGTAGATGATCCGATTTGTAATCCAATATCCAAGAAGGCTGATGCACTAGCCACAGATCTTATATATAATATAGACATAATGAATATGAAGGTCCTTTTTAACAGGACAGAAAGCATACTCTCGAGAATTCAGAAAAGCTCTCGAATATTAGCATAATTTTCTTCTCATGAGTCTTCGAAAGTATCTTGACTAATGTTGAGATTACCAAGAAACTTAAAACATATAACATTCAAATCGTTGGTATGCAAATTATTTTTTTATATTATATATATACTAATATATATAACAATTTTTGTAGAAGATCGAAATACAAATACACTAATAGAAATGTTTCTTTATAAGTCGCAGATCTGCAAAGAAATTGAAGTCAGAAACGTCGTCTTTTCATTTGCTTTATGTTTCATAGAGGAATATATGCGTATCTTTGAGTTCATAACATATTACAGTATGTGATATGTTATTCTGTTTTATAATATTTCAATTCTATTAAAATAAGTTATTAATTTTGTGCATATTGTTATCATAGTAATATAAATTTCTTTAATTTCTTAATTTCTTTAATTTCACAGATCATATTAACTTTATAAATCATTTTCTTTATTTTTAATTTTAATATTACAAATTTTATTTATTATTAATTTTATTTTTAATTATCTTTGTTTGTAGCTAACTTAGTATATAGTAGATAATAATAATTTTATATATATATAAATATTAGTGCTTGAAAATATAAAATAAATATACTTGAAAGTTTTAATTTAATTATCTTGTAATTAT